CATGGAGTCACCGGGGAAGACTTCTTTTCTAAAGAGAATCATCCTTGAGGGAGAACAATTGCCCTTCTTCAAGGAACTTTTTTCTCCTACCAACTTTCTTTTTTCTTTTTTTTTTTGAAACAGTCTTGCTTTGTCGCCCAGGCTGGTGCAATCTTGGCTTACTCCAACCTCTGCTTCCCGGGCTGAAGCGATTCCTGTGCCTCAGCCTCCCAAATAGGTAGGATTATAGGCACCCACCACCACACCTGGCTAATTTTTGTATTTTTAGTAGAGATGGGGTTTCACCATATTGGCCAAGGCTGGTCTTGAACTCCTGACCTCAAGTGACCCACCTGCCTTGGGCTCCCAAAGTGCTGGGATTACAAGCGTGAGTCACTGCACCTGGCTTTCTCTCCCACCAGCTTTCAACGACCAGACTCCTTGCTTTCCAAAACCCCCAACATGACATGCACTGCTCTTGGTCACCTCCTGGGGAAGGAAGGGCCTGGACTGCAGTGCTTATAGGCCAAGGTCTGGTGCTGCTCTGTTGCCTGCCAGCTGTGTCACTCCACCTCTCTGATTCTCCTTCCTTCCATGGTAAAAGAACCTCACTGGTGGTTCCTAATATCCCTAAAATGCAATGACATTATAATGCTTACGGGATTATGGACTTTAGGCCTTCGGGAAGGGGTTGGAAAAATACTTTTTTCTTTTAGAAACAGGTATTAAAACTGCTTCCTGTTGCTGTTAACCAAAGCAGGCAATTTCTCATTAGTTACTTCACAGGGAGAACCGATGGTTTGTTGAAGTGTCAAAACCTCATTAACATGTTTACCACAGGTGAGTGAGATCTTTTTTTAATGTTCTTTTCAATATGAAAACTTACTTTAATAAAGTAATACATAAAACTTTTAAAATAAGGAGATGCTATGGTAACCACTTTTGTCTGAATAACATCTGTTTTTTTGGGAAAGAATAAAAATCAGGAGAAATATGCAGAAATGTAGTCATTTTTCTTCTCCATCCAAGAGAGAAATCCATTTTGAGCCAAGTATTTGAGGATGGCCTAGTTTGAAGTGTAGTCAAACAAGTTTATAACAGGAGAACAAGATTCAGAGGGAGGAAAATCCCTAAAGGACTGTATGTGCAAAGGAAGGTCTCTTGTCCTTTGAAAAGAACAACTTAAACAGAGTTATTCTGACAATGTAAAGGTGTCGATTCCTGATAGATGTGTGTCAATTTTTTTCCTATTTGAAACAAAGCCATACACAGTTTCTTGGAGAATTAGAAAAAAATTATTTTTCTCTGGCTTGAGAGCATGTTTGTGTCTCAAAATACATTTAGACTTGATCCAATCTGTCCCTCTTCCCCAGTTCATCTCTAATAGATGCAAAATGCTCCCTACCGGTAATTACCTCCAGCTTGCTGAGATAGCAACAGGCTGACCTGATGGTCTAATTTCACCTTTACCCTCATAGTACAAGAGGTCAGGGAAGTCAAGGCTGGTCTGAGTGCTGTACAATCGTCAGCAAGGATTAAACGGAATGACTCAGTCTTCCTTCGCACCTTACTCATTGCCATTACCCTGGCAGCTGAATCTTCAAAAAACAGTGCCTTGGAGAGGAAATATGGGAGAAAAGAGAGAAGAGGAGAAGAAAAGGAGGAGGGGAGGGGAGGGAAGGGGACAGGCTAGGAGAGGAGAGGAGACGAGAGGACAATAGCCCCACGTTTTATATCACTTCATCTCATACACTGCACAGTGTCACAGATAATGTTCCTTTTTCCCTCCCTTGACATTACTATTTTCTATTACAAAGGTTGATTCAGTTAAATAATTTAAGGGATTTCTTTATTTTTATTTTTTAAAAACCTTTCAAACAAGGGTTTAGGATATAATGCAAGAAGATTACAACAGTGCCCAGAAACAAGAATGTCATGTATATGACAGGAACTCTTAGCCTTCTGTATGATAGATGAATGGACAAAAGAGTGAATGAACAAGTGGTACTGCGCTAAGCAAAACACATGAATGTTGGGCTAATGTAACTGTGTTTTAGATTCTCAGATTTATACCGTTTGTCTTAAAAAAAAAAAAAAATCCTAAAATCCTAGGATATGGTTTATAACATGAACACCGTATCTGTATAGCCTTGAGAAAAAGGCTATCTGAAGTTACACAGATGGGCTTTATAAACACACAGTGGTATCAATAGTTGCTGACTTCGATTTCTTTTCTAATTAATTTCACAGACTTGCAGATGGGAGGTACCTTCCTGGGCGCTTTATCACCTCTTCAGTCTCTTCATTTCACAGATGAGTAAAGAGAGGACCAGAAAGGTTCGGTGATTAGTCTAAACATACACAGTTAAGAAATGACAGAGCTAGGATCAGAACCTGGGTCTTTTAGCTTCTAATCCAGTACTCTTCTTACTGTACTATACCACAATTTAAACAAAAAAAAATTCCCCCAGTTATTCTGGGCCCTGAAGCCCTGAAGTTGCTACCTCAGCTTGATAAAGAGCTAACTCTACCAGGTTTCTGATTCCAGCACAGAGAGAATGTGATGGTTCAGAAGATGAGAAATCAACACCTACAAGATCAGCATCTCTCACAAGTCTGGAAGGGTGAAGTGAAAATCCTCTGGTTGCAAGAGTAGCAAACAAATGAAACAGATCCCCCAGGCAATGGGCTAAATGGCACAAATTTGCACATATGAAACATGCTGTATTTTTGAATCTATGAAATACCAAAGCAACTTCTATTAAGTAGGGCTTTAGTTCAACCATAGGTTTAGGACAACTGTAAATACTAGGGACTATCTCTCAAATTTTAGTTCTCTTAGACCAAAATGCATTGACCACAACTGGATTGAAATTAAGTCGCTTTACATTTTTTTCTTGCCCAGCTCTCCTTGTGATGTCCCTCCCCATATCAGCTTCAGCCATTTCTCGAGTCAAAACTTTCTCTGGACCAGCCTGGGCAACATAAAGAGATTCCATCTCTATAAAAAGTTTAAAAATTAGCTGAGCCTGGTGGTGCATGCCCATAGTTCCAGCTACTTGGGAGGCTGGGTTAGGAGGATCTCTTGAGCCCAGGAATTTGAGGTGTGATCACACCACTGCATTCCAGCCTGGGCAGAAGAGTGAGATCCTATCTCAAAAAAAACAAAACCAAAAACAGCCAAAAACCCATTACTTTCCCCAAACTAAAATACACTCATGGCGTAGAATAAGAGGCACAGGAATCGCTTCAGCCCGGGAAGCAGAGGATGGAGTAAGCCCAGATTGC